GAGGTGGGGCTTAACGATTAGATGCTTTTAATAGATCCTGTGGATGAAACCTCAATTCGCTTATTCTCCTCTGGGGAGGGGGAGAGAGAGAGAGAGAGGTCCGTCCCTCGCTGAGCGCTGTGATGTGGATAATGAAGAACAGATCCCCAGCAATCATGTTATTTAGCTTTTTTTTCTTGCCCCTTCCTCCCTATCATATAAATAAAATCATAGCATAAGAAAAGCCCCAAGCAATATACTGGTTGTAATATCGCAGTTGCGTTTTCCAGCTGATACTGAGAGGCATTCGGCCTTTGGTACAGGCGGTATATATTACAAACATGACTAACAGCTGTGGGTAGCTTTACTTGCCATGCCTTTGTTTAATATCATTTTAAAGCTGTCCATGTTGGCAAGTATCAGTGTGTCCTCATGCTTGCAAATTCTGCAGTTCAACTATGCTCTGCCTTTTGTCAGCCCTGAATATCCATTATCACCACACATATTATCATAATTTTATACTCTTATCGTGTACCACCCTTTTTCGACACTTTCAAAAAGAAACATTTTCTTTGTTTTAAAATGGGGTGGATCCGTCAGGTTAATAATCTAAAAATCAAATTTCAAACTTGTAGGGGTCATCTTTAAACAGACCTTGAAGAAGCTGGATTAGAAAAGGTTGGTAAGAAGTATATAGCTGGCAAAAATGACTACAATGTGCAATGGTAGAAAATGCAGGCAGAGCTTTGGGGGAATCAATCAATACTTCACTGGGTTTCTTCAGTGTAATGTCCAGAATTTGAAAGAGTCTACTATATTCTTCTGCTACAAACTATAATGTAACTACTGAGGAATCAAATGCTATTTTATTACAACTTCTCTGTTCATCCATATACACTTAGAGACTGAGCAAGTGTATGTGTGTACCTTAACATCTCATGGCCTGAGCATAAAGGGTAATACATAACATAATTCATCTTCTCTAGAATATCCTGCCCTATAGGTTCTATAACTGCCATTTGGGAAACACCATATTTTTACCAGAACAACTGAAAAGGATTAATTTTTCTCTCCGTTTGTTAGTCACATGTGTTTGTGTGTGCGCATTGCTCAGTTTCTTAACAGAGTATATAGATTTACTGTGGAGTTATAATAAAATAGTATCTTATTCTTCAGTAACTACACTTTAGTCTCTAGTTCAGTGGACTAGAGTCCCCAGATATTCTTGGACTAAAACTCCCAGAAGCCTTCACCACTTTTTTGTTGTTGTTTAGTCGTTAAGTCATGTCTGACTCTTCGTGACCCCATGGACCAGAGCACGCCAGGCTCTCCTGTCTTCCACTGCCTCCCAGAGTTTGGGTCATGCCATTTAAGTCATATATGAATTTACTAACTGTGTTGTAATGCAGAACAATTATTTTAGCACCAGAATGTGTTTTTCCCCATGACCATAACTTTCTGTAGTAAAGCTGATACATAGGATGCTGCTTCACACTAGGTCACTCTGTTTGTCCATGTGTTAAGACAGGATTGGGGAAGATATGGCCAAACTCTCATCAATCTTAGCCAGCAGTAAGAGATGAAGGGAGTAGCCATCTGGCAACATCTGGAGGGCCACAAGTTGCTCACTTCTACATGAGGGCCTTATAAGTGATACAAATGAGCACTTCATTAAAAAATTAGAATAAAAGTATGGATTGCTATTTCTTGTTATCATATAAAGTCCTTTGCAAGAGACGCTCTAGGCACCTGAAATACTGCATCCGATCTCCCCTATCCCCCAACTTCATTACTGCCCATATCCCTAAGGAAATACTACACACAAGCTGTGAGTGATAAAATGCTTTAATGTACAGACTGGTAGTGGGCAGTGGCATTGCCAGTTTCATTACTATTCTATGGCATTTCCTGAGATACTCTGAACTAATTGTTTGATCATATTTTGATTAATACTTGAACTACATTGCCTGAGGCCACTTTGTGAACTGCAGGTTGGCCAACTGTTCTGTAGATGCACCAACTTTTGTGGGAGGTGATGCCCAATTTTAAAACATATAAAGCTCATAACCACATTAGAAGGCCTTCTTTGAATCCCACTCCCCTCTCCAATCTGAACACTGATCAGCTTTTCTGCTGATTTTAAACTCTGAAAATTAGCCATGATCTCCTAAGACCCTGGCCTTGTCTCAAGAATCTGTGGCTCTCATCATGGCACTCTTCATACTGAGGCCAGCTAGAAAACATAAGAGGAACCTTTCCATTCTTCAGCTTTGTTGCACTGGGCAATTATTAGATAGTCTGACTCCCTAGGATGGATTTAGGCAAAGAGTAAAACCTGCCATTTGTTCAAGCAGATGTATTTGTGATTGTAATCGTCTTGTGATAAACTCTTCATCGTTTCCTTTCCTTACTTGGATGGTGTTTGCTAAAACATATGATCGACTCAGCTAGCTTTAATTAAAAGCATTGCTTATTTCCCACAGCAGTTGAGTCCTCTTTGTCAGCCAGATGGTTGGTGCTAGTATCCAGCTGCATCTTTGTTCCTCTGTAAGTCCCCCCCCTTTTTTTTTTGAAGACGCCAGTGCTACATTAATGCACTGGAGCAGTGTGGAATGCAGCAGTTAGGGACAGAGGGCAAAAGCATGCCCAGGGACAGTGTGAATTGAATGGACAGATCCTGTGATAAAAGGTCAAAGCCTGGAACAGACTGACCACCTAAGCAGTGAATAGTGGGCCTGTTTAATAACAATAAGTGGAGTGTTTGTACTTTGGGGGCTACTACTACGTCAGCATTGTTGACTCCGCAGGTCATGCATCACAGGAGCTTCAATGGGTGAGGATTGGTCTATAGTTAGTCTTGCTTGAAATAAGCCTACTTGAAACTGGATTTGCTTCCAGCAGCTCTAATTGCTCTTATGGGGAGGCAATACATCAATGCCTTCCCTACCCCTTTTGTTTTATCATTAAAATCATTAAGGCGAAGGGCGTGGGGAAGCATTATTGTATGGCCGACGGAAAGATGTTAAACCGGGCTAGCATGAAAGCCCTCCGCAGCATAGGATTAATCAGTAGGTTGCAATAATGTGGAGGATATTCTAAAGAAGGGGATAAACCCAAAAAAATTTGGAGAGCAAGAAGGATAAAGAAGATCTCTTAGGTCTTACGTAGATGTAAGTTTTCCTTACATCTTTCCATTAGCCATGCATTATGGCTGTTTCTCCAAAACCCCTAAAGGCAAAAGACTTTGCCTTTTTGTCACTTGCTGCCTGATACATTAGATCATATTCTATTCAGATGTCTAGCACATTACTCCCTTCGGAAACTCCATTTAGATCATTGGTTGATTCCCTTTTCGGACTTTTCCCTGACCTTTTCCCTATTTTTTTGAGTGATCGCTGTGCCCCCCTCACCGAGGCGGTGGCAAATTATTTAGTTGTAATTATGAAACTCACTGTTGCCTCATAACGTAGAACTTTTCTTTACCTCATTTCCCAGTTATGTCTTACCTCTCATTATTTTGTACTTCCTTGTCCACACTGTTTTATGCCAATAAAGGTTCACTGTACTGACTGTTCTTATTGTATGGCCACCCTCCAAAGCTACTAGAGTCACATGCCATCATATATGGAAGAAAAGCCTGAAAGGTCGTGAAAGGCTAAGAATATTAGGTTCTTTCCAAGTGAAATGGAAGAGTTTTTAATCTACAGAGTAATGCAGAATAAAGTTGAAATTAACATTTGTAATTATCAGTTAGATGTCTGCATAGATTACTGATTTGAAACCCCCAGCTCTGAACTAGAGCCCCCACTATGCCTTGTAAGGAAAAAAGCCAACTTGTACAGCCCTGGGCAACCTAAATGCTCCCAGACTGCTCCCAGAAGAAGGGAATGGTAAACCAGTTTTGTGTACTTTAGACCTAGAAAAACCTGGAAAGGTTTACTGTAAGTCAAAATTGACTTGATAGCACAAAATCATTGCTATCATCATCATGTATCTATCGGCAATCAACATATACGATGGTTTCTAATTTGCTCCCAGTGACAAAGCACCAATGTGTCAATACCCAGTATCCATCCAATCAGTCATAGGGCATGCACAAGACCTATGTGTAACAAAAATTAATTCCCATCCTTCCTAGCTTTCCCTGTCTCTATTGCAGGAGTAGGTGGAAGGTAGATTTGGATCTACTGATTGCTCTCCGAGACATTTACAATAGATAGCAAGGATTTCTGGCTCTGAGTTGTTTAACAAGAGCAGCAGCAAAATGCTTTCCCCTTCCCTATCCTAATTTATATTGCTGAAGAAAGCTTGAGATTAACTGGGGTGGAAGGACTATGAATTCCATTCACTTCTGGTAATCAGAAGAAATCCCTAGGTTCAAAATATGTAGCTTCATTTTAAATGTATGATTTTTGCATCAAGCCCTGGTTCATGGGTCTGAGGT